TCCATCTACTGTCTAGTCGGTTTCTCTATCCGGGCTTTCTGGCGCTGCTCGTTTCTACTCTCTCATTTCCGCTAGGCACCGGCCAGTTCATCGCTGGCGAACTGAGCACACACGAACAAGTTACACAGTTGTTTAGTAATTTCACATGGTCACGCGACGATCTCACTGTGGAGCAGGCGGCCATTGTTACACATTGGGTTACTAGTTACACCAATATATTCATCAATCTCTCCATCTATATTGTGTTCACCGTAAGTACAGTGTCAACGGTACGTTAAGATAAAAGAAATACGCTTAATTAAATTGCTTCTCCCCTTTTACAGTTTTTCATTTCCATCATCGCCTCCACCATACCAGTGCCTTCGGGTATTTTTATACCCGTTTTCAAAATTGGCGCCAGTTTGGGACGTCTCATTGGCGAAAGTATGCATTTGTGGTTTCCGCACGGCGTGCGCTACGGCGGTCGTCTATCGCCCATCATACCCGGCGGTTATGCCGTTGTAGGTGCGGCAGCATTTTCCGGCGCCGTGACGCATACCGTTTCGGTAGCGGTAATCATTTTCGAGATGACCGGCCAGATAACACACGTTGTACCGGTGATGATCGCAGTGTTAATAGCGAACGCCATTGCAGCCCTTCTACAACCGTCCATGTACGACAGTATTATATTGATTAAGAAACTGCCGTATCTGCCCGATCTGCTGCCATCCAGTTCAGCGATGTACAGCATCTATGTGGAGGATTTTATGGTACGAGATGTGAAATACATCTGGCATGGCATTTCGTATCAAAAACTCAAGGAGGTGCTGAAGGCGAACAAAACGCTCCGATCTCTACCGCTGGTCGATAGTCACGAGAATATGATACTGCTCGGTTCCGTACAACGTTATGAATTGATTAAAATGATTGAAAAACATATTGGACGTGAGAAACGCATGGAGGTGGCACAAAAGTGGCAAAAGGAAGCGGAAGAACGGTAAGTACGAAATTTTTGGGTGAAATTAGTTTGTGCCGAGAAAAATGTAATTTTTTCTCACCCCATCCCCCTTCTAGCGCCCGCGAAGAAGAGAAGAAGAAACAAGAGGCTGAATTGAAAATACGTCGTCCTTCTCGCTTCGAAGTATTACCCGCTCCCGACATACTTAGTTTGCGGCAAATTGCCAACGATGAAATGTTGCCGCCCAAACAACGCCAAGAATCGCTCAATAATAATTTGGCACCACGAAAATCCATTTTGAAAAAGACAAACTCCTTTAATTTAAAAACATTCGCACCTACCTCACCGCACAGCCCTAACATTACCCCATACACCACCATCACGGGCACCGAGCATCGCATTCGTTCCGCCTTTGAGGCGATCTTCCGTAAATCGAATACTCTGCAGGATGTACACCCGGATCCGGATGCTGGCAGCATATCGCCGGCTGTGAGCGCCAATGAGGTGCCGCATGTACAGCGCGCGCCCAGCATCTCGAAGAAAGTTCAATTGGTATGTAGATTTTGAGGAAATGCTTTTCCAATAATTCGGTACAAAAATTTTGTGCACGCCACTAGTGTGGAATGTGTTTTTTCATGTTTGTTGCTTGTTATTGCTGTTGGTTTTGTTTTGTTTTATGTTCATCATTTGTGATTTGTCGATTTTGAAATTTTGTTTCTGCATGGATTTAAACGAAGCTGTTTAAATTATATTTGTCTGGTATTTACTTTTTCTATGCAAGCAAGCACAAAATACTGTGGAGTCTACAGAACAAGATCGAAAGGTAAAAATTCTCACCAACTAAATTTATTTCAT